GGGGGGAGGGGGTCCACGGGGTCCGGACACCCCCTCCCCCTTTTTACCACCGTTTTTTTTTTCTTTAAAAACTTACGCCTAAAATTGTCGCCTCGCTTCGTTCGGCCATATATTTACTTACCGCCGTAAATAAATTTCCCAATAATATGAGACTACTGGTGTAGGGTCGGTACCAATGTTAATCTTATCAAACCCTATACATGTACCTAGTACAGATGCTTGTTTCTATATCATACTCCACGGAAATCATAATGTACAATTCTATTTTTGATTTGTATTCATTTGATATGCTTAAACACGGAAATATTTGGAACAATAGCAAGACACAGGGAGGGAACATGAATGTTTTAACCTGACAGTTGACAGCCAGACACAGATGTATTGGGGGGAGGGGGTAGCTGCCGTACGCATCCCATCCCCTATCCCATCCCCCTAAAACCTCACCAAATTAACTTGAACTGTCTACTATAACCTCTCAACAGACACAAACACACACTAACATTTTCAAGGGTGTGAGGGTGTGTGTGCAAATGGAAACCATGCCTATAATAGGCATGATTTCCCTTTGCACAAGTATAGGATTATTTTTATCGCATCTCAGAATCCGACCACTACCCCTCATTGCCCGCGGGTCGGGTAGGGATCTTGATGGAGGGACGGAATATCTTATGACAAGCTACACCTGTGATTAAAAGTATGTGCAAAGTCCTTCATATATATATATCGTTTAACGATTATATAAACTTGTGTAAAATGACGGAATATCGGACGCGCCGACTCGCAATGTTTGGTAAATACCCCATCTGGTAAGTTCTGCTAAGATTCCCGAATAAAAAAAAAATACGAAGGAGATGCGTAAACCGGGTGGTGTGTACTGGTGACCGTAGTGAGACAGGGGAGATAATGCTTGTTGCAGACGACGAAGATTTGAGATGGTGAACGTCGGGTCATAAACTTACTACGATTCTCGGTAAGTTCTTAATCAAAACACGTCATATGAATAAGACTAAAAACGAGAAACAACTGTAAATGTTCACTTCATTGACAACGATTTTAAGATATGTTGTGTAATTGTTAAAGCATATTGAAGATAGTTCGGTATGAGACGTATTTTGTTAAAACAAAACATAAAGAAGTATGGAAGCCCATCATTGCCAATATTAATCATTGATAACACATCATAGTAGCCTATTCCTTTATGCTATATTCCAGTTTATTGCATATTAAAATTTCACTTTTAATATTGTCTTGGTATAGCATGGCGCCTAAGAAAAGGCGGAATCATGAACCGGCAACACTTTTGGCGTTTGGTATCACAAAAAAGCCAAGAAAACCCCCAATGGAAATGAAGGTACACCATGTACAACTGAAGCGATTGTTCTGTGCGGGAAGCAAAATTTTCCATTAAGAGGCCACAGAGATGACCGGACCAGCACATCATCAAATAAAGGGAACTTTTTGGCTATTTTAGAAATGCAGGCAAAGCACGACGATGTTCTCCAACAACACCTGGCGACAGGAAAGAACTGACCCCTATAGTAACCAGGAAATTTTGTCCGTGTGTTTGAGGTTGCTGACCGGTAGACGTCCAAGGGTCCGCGAACTATTTTTCAATTTCGTTTATCTAGAGAGGGCGACTGGGGAATCAATAGCACATGCTATCACCGAGTGTCTCAGACAAAACCACATTGACATATCCCAGGCTAGGGTCCAGAGCTACGATGGCGCAGCTTGCATGTCCTCGGCGAAGATGGGTGTCCAGGCACGGATCCGACAACTTTCCCCGCGCGCGTTATATGTTCACTGTAACAGCCACGTCCTCAATCTCAGCATTGCTAGTGCATGTAAACAACCCGCCATCCGGAATATGATAGACATTCTGAACGCCGTGTTTCTGTTCTTTGATTTGTCTCCGAAACGACAGAGGTTCCTCGAGAGAATTCTTGACAACATGGCGCCAACCACCCGCAAGAAGAAGCTTGTTGGGCTGTGCAAGACCCGGTGGGTGGAGAGACATACATGCTTCGACACATTCTACGATATGTACGGATACTTATGTGAATGTCTAGAAGCAATACTGGACCCATCTGGATATCCAGACATTTACATGGACACCTGGACCGGTAGCCGGGACCAAGAAACAAGGACGAAGGCGCAGGCGTTATTGGCCAGTATGTGCTCTTCACAGACAATAATCGCCTTTCTCGTGACAAAAAATGCACTAGAGAATGTAAGACCAATTGCATCTAAGCTTCAGAAGAGGGATTTGGACATACACCAGGCGTACGGTATGATTGACCAGACCAAAGCTCGGATTGTGACTTTGCGAAAAGACATTGAAGAAGAATTCAGTGTCTGGTTTGAGGATGCCACCCGATTGGCAACACTTGTCGGCATTCCCATTTCCGCTCCAAGAGCACCAAAATCAGCACGACAACTTCATCGACTCAACGCCCCTAGCACGACTCCAAGTGAGTATTTTTTGCGCAACGTGGCAATTCCATTCTGCGACCACTTATCTTCGGAATTCGCAAACCGATTCACCCCGGAAACCAGAAAGGATGTAGAGATCCTCGCTCTTCTGCCACCGAACATCACAAAGACGGAGGATGTCCAGAAGGTTGTTGAAAACCTCAAATTCTGGGAAGAAGACTTGCCTAATCCACCAACTCTCAGAGCGGAGATAAAGGAATGGCAGCGGTTTTGGAATACCAAAATGCCAATGGAGCCTGCCTCATCGCTCAACCTTGTGGATTGCCTGGACAATGCTGACGAAGATGTGTTCCCTAATCTCAACACGCTGCTAAGAATTGGGTGTATCCTACCTGTGGGCAGTTGCGAGGCAGAGAGATCATTTTCCTGTCTGCGACGGCTAACGACTTACTTGAGGAACAGGATGGGAGAAAATAGACTGACAGGACTGGCACTCATGAACATGAACCATGATATCGACATTGGTTTGGACAAAGTGTGCCAGGCCTTCATTCAGAGACACATCAGAAAAATGTTTGCTGGCTGCATACTCTCTCAGTGACTGGTACATAACAATTGGAGACAAGTAAATTGTTGTGGTGAAGTCATATTGCGATGTTATTAGTTACTTGATCTGACACTGTACTTTCCTCTCCAATACATATATATTGACATTCATCCTCGCATGCAACGGCTTATTTACATGTACGTTTACATGTTACTGGTTTTTGAAGATAAATTACGTCCACACTTGTATCTTTTTTCTTTGATAATGATTTTATTGCTGACCTGTGGTATTTACTTGAGTATTGTATAACCTTTTAAATTCCTTTAATATCCAAAAGTCCAATGGGTGACATTGGGTCTATTGCCAAATAATGCCCCAATTTTAAAGTTGAATGGAAAATAATTTGCAGGATATCGATGTTTGTATGTAATGAACAAGTATCCTCATTTTGTTCTCAAAAGTGCTTAAAAGCCATCTCCGGTCATCTAGGATTTCAATTTTTCCGGGGGAGACCCCCCGTACACCCCTTACGAGAAGGGGGCTGCCAGCCCCCCTCTCGTGCCCTCACCCTGGCACCGGCCTACGGCCCCCGTTCGGCGGCCTTCGGTCCTCAAATAACCTTTGGCATGAAGTTGCCCCCCCCCCCCCCCCCCCCTTTTATGAAATGCTGGATCCGCCCATGAGTTACATTCAATAAGTACTATCAGGAATTGGAGGTATGAAGAAAAAAAATAGTCGTAGGTAAACACGAAACCTTTATTATCATATGAATCAATTTGGGCGGGTATAAATTGTTCATAGTACGACTTTTGAAGGTCACTTTGAGGCTTTAAGCTGTTATTTGTATCTTTTATACAGTGTATCTATTGTTACATCATGACATAATCTTGAAATGTATGATGCCATTTTATTATAATTTTATGACGTCAAAAAGTCATATTACATGAGTTTATCTTCAGAGTACCGTATATTATACGGGCGATTTCACTGAATAACACGGTAATTTTGTGACAAGTAGTACATTTTCTTTTCGCTTAAATTATTACATTTGCTTCATCTACAATATATTATCTTTGATAATTTTTAAAGATATTGTTTTATCTTGTTTAAAGTGGATATACAAATAAGAGCTACGATCTTGAAGTTCCCGGGATCGTGACTAACTAGTATAGTAAGACTCGTAAACATACTGTATGTAGTTATGCCAAAGGGCATATTTGCATTTGCGGATATTTTTATCTTTAGAGATTGCAGATGCCTCAGGGTTTTGGGCAAGGATGGCGGAAGTGTCGAATTAAATACATAACAAGTTGTTAGTCGTGGTGAAACTCCTTCGTCAGGGTTTCCAAGGTGAGGTATGTAGTATCTGATTTATTGAGAAATGTTATACTTTATGAATATTATCTCAGGTCTTAAAGTGCGATCCATATGTTTAAAGTTCATGTTACGAACACGGTCATCCTCGATTGACGTAATGGTAGAACTTTAAAACGAATCCATAAAATAGTAAGGACTGAAATATTTTCTCATCGTATAGGGATACCGTTTAACTTTATATTTAATTTCTGTATCCGGAAGAAATCAACGGGCACACGGGTTTTCCAGGAATATACGTCTCTGGATATATGATATAATGATAATTAGAAATTGATCCGTAAAACGTACATATATGCGTTCTCGTTTGTTTTTTTTGTTTGCTTAGATTACCCTTTATATTTTGAAGACATCTCGTTAATTTGGTGACTGTCGGTAACACTGAACCTAGTCAGGGATATAAGTAAATGTAAGTGATCCTCTGTCGGCCGTGACAACTGCCATTCATTACATTGGGCGTATATCTGATAGCGGAATCAATCCCGTACTAGGTAATGTCGGGGGTAGGAAACATTTATTTAAGGGGGTGTTCCTTGAACGCATACATCTTTAGAACAATAGGTAGAAACATCAAAGGGAGGGTAATTATAGTTTGTATCATTTATGTACTATATTTTCTGAGATATTTTACCAGTAGATCTACCTGTGATTTTACAGGTAAAAAATTATGATGTTTATATAACTTGCATAAGGTTCCAAAGAATATTATCATCATCATCAGTGTGAAAGAAAACTACGTAAATTTCACTTTTCATTTATATCATGTATTGGAAAATGATACTTCTTAATACTCTGATGTATTCAAATATATTTTAAAAGATATTAAATAATGAAACTAAAATCAGTACATTACAAAGTTGTTAGTTGCATAAAGGAGCTCACATATGAAAAGGGGGGAAGACTAGACTCCAATTTACTAACATAGAGCACTATGAATTATAGAAGGTGTTATTTACATGAGGTAAAATACTGTCATACGCCTTATACTGGTGCAAATTAAATAAAAATAAGAAGAATGCTTTCTTAGATAATGATAAATTTGCTTCAATATTTTTGGTCAAATCATAAAAATGTAATATCTACAAAATACTGAAAAGTGTCTCATTATGTTTTGAAGGAAAAAAAATAGAATACAGATAATGTTTGAAATAACAGTGAAATATTCCTGTATCTGTGATAAATATATAGTCCCTAACCATTCCTTTATTATCTGATTTTGCATTTAACTCTGTATATTCCTAAGAAAAATAATTTTATCAGGAGGAAAAGTACATATATGACGAAGGCTGAAATGGACGATTATTTTTTTGGAAAATTAAAAGCCAGAAAAGTAATTTATAAAATGCCGAAAATAAAAGAAAAATGAAACTAAAGATACAATTTTTGCTTTAGGCCCAAAGTCTGTCACTAGTGTTCGATTTTGAGTAGCTCGGATGAAACATTTTTTTTTTTTTTTTTTACATAACGACTGGGCTGTCAGATGTATATCTAGATCTGATGTGATGTAATTTATCCAGATATTGCAAAGGGTGAGACAGATACAGCTCCCCTATAGGGTACCATTCTCATATCCACAAGTTTTATGAACATTACTTTATTAGGGAAATTCCTTAACTTAAAAATGATCTTATATATAGTGAAGCATTACAAAATTTAAGGAAAATTTCTTAAACTAGAATTCTCTTCAACTCCAATAACGCTATCATGTGGAAAGAAACATAAGAACTTTCCTTACGATAAGGAAACGTTTATAAAACTGATGCCTGGGTACTTCTTGAGGGCATTGCCAGTTCTCACCTGAGGAGGGTGGTTTCTTCAAATGATTCTAATCCAGACATACATATTTCCGTTTATTCACAGTTTTTCAAACACCTACAAATAGCTTATCTTCGTTTGAAATTTCATTTTCCAGTTTATTCAAATAAACTGTACATTGTAATACTATTTTTTTTAAACCACAGTGTTTATTTAAAATGTTATTTGATCACTTATACACCTGTAAGGTACTAATAAATAATTACAGATTTGGTTTCTCAGCAAATGACCAAAACATTAGGGTGTTGTTAAATTTTAACTAATTGTGCTATATTATTTATTTGTTTATCTATTATTGAAAGAACAGTTCAATTAATATTATATCAAATATTACATGGAACAGCTTGTTAATACATCTATTATCAAAAATATAAAACTTAAGAAAATTTTAGAGGTAAATATATATATATATATACAATACAATACAATACAATACAATTTTTTTTATTATAGTGACATGTGCAAACATCAAAATTACATACGTGTACAATGTTTCACAAATTATTTTAGCACCCGACCCAAAGGGTCTATAGGTCACTTTAACTTAAATTTACCTTCAAAATATCATTTGCGTCGTTGGTTAAATAACAATTAAATTATATATATACTTGTAGAATGAGACAAAATCTTAATTTTTACGAAATAATACATTTTTCTTTTATCAAATATTTTCGACAGATATTTTGCTGTTTGCCTGGGAAAGTCATTTACTAATATTTTAAACAGTTCGATGTTTGATTGATGTTGAAAGGTTATACCAGTGTTAAGAAGTAGGTCATATATATGATTATTTATATAAGCATATGTGCCAACAGGTATGATTTACAGGTAGATTCACTTGTTAAAAATAAGACACTTTTTAAGAAAAAGACTATAATCCCTATCAAAACAAGTTGCCCTACATACAGGTAATTTAAAAATGTATGCGTTCAGGATTTCAGATCACAGATTTCACATAAAAATCTGTTACATGAGATACATGGGAATCAGCCTATTTAAGTCAGATGCAAAATGTTAGAGACGTGAACACAAATCAGACCCTAAATCAACAATAAGCGTCCCTAAAATGTGAAGCTATCTGAAACTGTTGTCCTGTCCTAAAAGATATATGTCAACATATACATGTAGCCACGTTTAATATTCAAGTTCACGTTTGTCTTGTCTTTTACCTTTTCCTTTGTTTGATGTTATTTTAATTCAACGTCTGATTTTATCAACCATTCCTTTGTCCCAATAACTTCTCGTGTGTTGATAGGCCGTTAAGCAGTTATAATAATAACCCTCTATATTGAACTGTGAACTTGTAGATTTAATAATTATACCTTAAAATTTACATTTAAATATTATTAAATTAATTCATGGTTTTTTGGGGGTAAAGGTGAAATTTGGAATATTTCAGAAAGACAAATAGATACCTGCATAGCATTGCAAGCGGAGAGTATGTGGAACTACAAGAAATTAAACCCAGATTGCATTGAGCGTGTTAACGAGTGGTAGTTCCGGACCATATACCATCTAGAATTAAGCTGTATGTAAACGATTCACAAGGGTGATACACGAACAAATATGACTAGAGTGTTTCAAAACAAATATCATATATTCAAACAGGAACACATTAAAAGCATCACATATTTCACTGATCTTATATGACACAAGTTGATTACAGCTGATACCATTGAAGCTTCATATAGAATAGTTCTCAGACTTACTCAAATGTTTTTGAATGAAATAAAAAGATCACCGTTTATAGTTGAACGTCTAAAATAAAAAAGAACAAAACTATTAACGGCTATTAAGTGTCATTTGTAGCTCTTTCATTTCATTTCAGGATAATATTAAACTTAATTCTTCTACTCTTCTAGAAGATCCATTATTTTTGTAACTTTATTATAATGTATACTACATAAAGGCCAGTTATTGACGAAGGGACATAAGATACTTGTCCAACCCTCTTATTTCCTATTCAGATAGTATATTGGTGATGTTCGACATAAACATTTCTAGGACTACCTACGAGGACTTCTTACAACTCCATCGTCTACAATAACTAAAATAAAAACACGAAAGACTTATTCAAGTAATTTACCATCTTGATTATTTATTCATTTACATTTTGTTAATAATAGCAATCAAAAGTTGATGCTAATATTTTCACAAAATTAACTGACCTCCGAAGGTGTGGGTGTCAGTGCTCGATCTTGACATTGATTCCCTTTATTTTACACGATACGTAAATGTATGTAACATAAACAATAAATGCAGATATATTTAATCGCTATCGCTACCTATGGACAATATATAACTCCATGAATAGCATTAGACCCGATTTTATGAACCCATTCATGTCGGGTACTAGCGTAAATGCTGTGGTAAAATTTACTTCTCGCTACTCGCTTAAATATTAATGCGACGCTGTCACAAGCCAAATTTGGAAATGGGAAACAGTTTTTGGGATGAAGTCGCTTTAAAGTTTCTCCAAATGTTTTTTTGATGTCAAAATTTAGTTATTTATCACCGGAACAAATAATTTTAGTTTTACGTATTTATTAAAAACAAAGCTCTGTATATATTTATGACATAATACACTGCTTTGTTATATATATCTTCATAAGCCAAACGTGTTCCGCTATTTGTTATTTCACTATATAGGGTTATTGCTCTGTAAAATGTTATATTGCGCTAATAAATGGTCATGTGACCTTGCAATATATTATTTGTTATGCAGTGTCGCGTGACCAGTATATATGCAAGGTGAAGTAACCGTCGCGTTACAATATTCCAAATAGACGTTGATTCAAGCGTTCAACTGCCATTGACTACGTTGTTCTTTCACCTTATGTATCTGTCGTCTGGCTGTCAAAATTGCAAGGGGTTTTCTCTGCGCTACTGCGGACGACTTGTACCAGCTTTTTGCAGGGTATTAAAGTAGAACTGGAATGTGTCCAATATTCCATTATAATTTTCGATGATAATTGATATTGAACTACCGCCAATGAATATTGCTGAAGGTCCATGAAGTTAAACATTGTGTGATTCATATTATGCATATTCATGTATTTGTAATACAGGTTGTTTGCTGCCTTCCAGTTGTAAAGTCAAAAACGTTAAACCATCGGTGATTGTAGTTGACTATGCATTACATTTCATTCAGCCTTCGGCCTTGTGCATTATAACACGTTGTCAACTATTGCCCCCTTGGGTCAAATATTTTGACTGCACCATGGGAAGGTATAAACAAATATTTTTCTGATATGCTCTAAAACTGATATTGAACTCGGCTCCGCCTCAGTCAATATCACTTTTCCATGTTTATATCACATCATATCCACAATTACTTACTACAGTCAATAACTGTGTAATGAAATATGATTTATGATTTACTCTAAAAAATTATGTAAAACAATATGTACATGTATAAGTAGATGTCCATATGAACAAAGATCTAAAATCCATGTATGCGTTATCTATGTTGCTCTTTATTAAAGGAAATGTGATATCTCCACTGTATCACTCAATTTCTTTGTAAGGTCAAGATAAAAACGTTAATTTCAGATAGATCAATTCGCCAATCGTCGTCAACAACTCCTACTGAAAATCCAACTGGCACATATTTTATATATGTAGTTTCACTTGACCATGATCATTTTACAGTAACGGCGTGATCTAAAGACTATACAAAATTATGCTTAATTATTAACGTTCAAGTAAGCGTTATCGTCATTGATATTAAGTTTTTTCTGGACCTGTGTAATAATACTTTTGACTGAGTCTTCCTCATTGTCTTCAGAAGGTTCAGAAATGGATGATGTCACAGGTGGACTAAGTTCATCATTTTCCTCCCCGGGCCTGCCAAGCGCATTTTCCTCCCCGGGCTTGCCACACGGTGGGAAAAAACGTTCTTTCAAAACTGCAACCTCGGAATGGAATTTCCCTTCATATGCGAGTTTCAACGCCTCTTCATAATAGCCTTTCGCAGCCAATGTATATCCCTTGCACATATTCAATTTTCCGTGCGCAATGAAAAAATGCAATAACCTCAACCTCTCCATTCCATCTCTTAGTGCCTCCATTTCTTGAAGACATTGTGTTGCTTTTTCCATATCGTCGTCTGATATTATAGTACCCTGGATATCCCTAGATAAGATATCGATCCCAAGGTGACAGTATATTTTCTTGTCCAGATATACTCTTCTCCAAGTCTTTATCACATCTTTATCCTCGTCTGCGAACTGAAGATATCCAACGTCAATCCAGTGCAGGATCTGCTTTTTGCACTCATTTGCCTCCACAAGCCTATTGGCTTTACAGAGGTAACTGTAGTATTGTAAGTACATATTTACGACCGCGAATATGCAGCTTCCTATTTGTTTCCCACTCGAAAACATAGCAACGTCACACAACACAAGAGAGGCGTATTTCAATGTTTCTTCATATTCGCTAGACTGTGCACATGCAGTCCCCTTTCGAGATTGAAATATGAGCCTTGACAAGGAAGGATTTGATGTTTCACAAAGAATGGATTCCATTGCCTGAAACACCGGACGCTTCCAAAGCTGGGTTTTATCAGCTTTGTGCTGTTTCTCGATTACCGCTTGTAAATCCAGTAACACAAAATAGCAGTCTGCGACATTGCGTTTGTCGCTACCACAGGGCAAGCTTTGGAGTGTGCATGAAAGTTGAATGGCCCATCGTTGAAAATCTGTAGTCCACTCTAGTTCTCCACTCTTCAATGCTTTGGCTTTCAACACCTCATAGAAGTTATTCATGTATGTTTCTCTTGCGCCATTTGGGTTTATACTTTGCGGAGTAAGTACAGGCGAGGTTGCCTTGCAAAGTTTATTCTTGAACTTTTTATACAGTTTATGATTCATCTTCAGACATTTGAGAAGTCTATCCTTGCTGCAGTGATTAGGTATATCCTTAATAACCTCAAGATTTATGTCTGAATGTGTTCTTATAGATTTTCGAATACTTGTGCCATCATTATTAGTGATCACACCATGCAAGGATAAAAGTGAGATAAAATCACGAAGCTGTCTTCTGTGACGCTCAAGACGTAGGAAACACTCGAAGAAAGCGCGTTTCTCTTCTTCGTTCATTGTTGATATGATAATGACCTACAGCTTGGCGGCCTTTTTCCGAAATCTGTATTCATGAAAACCTTGAAGTAAAACAAAAATCTTTATTCAATATTTTTAGTATATTTATAACAATAACTATTATTAATCAATCCCTATGTTTTTCACTAAATCTGTCCTTCTATGATTTCTGAACAACTTGTTTCTTTTCCGAAATTTCACGAAATCGTAATTAAATGTTATTGTATCGCAGTCCTGTTCAAAAGTTTACGTGCTAATTATAATTATATTCTAAATAACTTCATCTTTTTATGTTAAACTATCTTTGATAACACGGCCATATTTCAAATATTGTCTACAAATTTCAATTATGTAATATGCTATCATCAAAAGATAATTTAATTATGCAGTAGATAAACGTTATGATATTTTATTAATCATGTTGTTAATTCACATTTTCTTATACTTTGTGTTATGTAATTGATTTCTGTGTATATCCTGACAAAGAATTACATGCTTCGGAAGGTGACGAATGTCATTGTGCTAATCAGCGGATAGCAAGTCATAAAACCATATTGTACCCTAACTAAGTCTGCATGATTGTGTCAGGTTACAATAGGTTAAACAGCGGGGTTGAATTGCTGGTGTATATTTACGGATGTTGTGTATCGTCGCTGCATTGTAATGTAAACACATAGTTTGTCGGTTGTGTGTATACATGATACCCTAGCACAAGTTGTTATAAGAATATGTTGGCATAGTGAACTGGAATGTGTTATGACTGCATCGAAACTTTTGCATAGCCTTTCTATTTACAAAACAGAAAATACACAAAATCAAGAAAAGAAGCGCTCAAACTAAATTTTAAAAAAAAACAGGTGAAAACTGAGGAGACATCACAAATCCCCAATAGAAGAGGAGTAAAAATTGGTTTCCTTCACAATGATTCCTGTGACGTCAAACCATGTAACTATCCAAGATAGACATATTATTATGTAATAATAGGATACACTGATATCCCCTGAAATAGGGTCAACCAGCATAGAGTGAAGCATTAAGGGAAGTAACATATGCTGTGCAATGTATTAGTCACTTGGGTAAAACCCCGACACAATTAACTAGCATTGGATTAACGAAAACACAGTAGCATAACTATTCTAAATTACTATCAAGGAAAACGGTTTACGGTGTTTAAATCTACTTTGTTACGGTTTATTATTATAGCCATTATACTGGAACGGATATAATAGTGTAGTTGTTTGATATTTTCTTTCCAAAATATTTAAAGTTCGGTCCCGTGGAGTGATTTTGATGTAAAAGAACGTACTGGTACGTCTCCTGTACCGGCGTAAGTGGTCGTATTGGGCGTTAACACTGTAATGCAGTGCTAGTACAAGTGGGGCTGGCTGTCATATTTTGTATAAAGGCACAAGGTTTACCGTCATGATTAAACAAACTGGCTAATGAAAATCGTGTCTAGGGTTTTGTTCACTATCGTTAGCAGCTAAAAATGTTACCAACTTCTAGCAGCTTTATATGGAGTTTTTTTCGAGAAATGTATAACAGACTATTTTGTATTCAACAATCTTGTTTCTTCTTTATATGTGTGAATGCAGCTACAAGCTGTATTGATGAATGAATTACATTTGGACTTATCTATGCCGTTACCTCCTTGTACTTAATAACAGGAAATACGATGCTTAAGTACATATCATTATCGATTTAACAGGCGCATTTTCCAGTCTGATAGAGCCAAGCAAGGACAACTCCAGGTTATGCACAAATATTTCCAGTTATACTCCACGTACGAACTATCACGTAGCCATTTCTATAGCATGGCTCGTATAATCTTATCGCGAGATCTGATATTGGTTGAAGACTGGTACGGATTATAATATGAAAAGTGACATATTTATAATGTGTTTCATGTGTTTACTTTAGAGTGTACGGAAGTGTTATAATAAAGGGATGAGATAAAGGGTTGTTTAGTAGTGCGATAAAGGGGAGAGTACATAGGGACATTGGATGCTTTGATGAAAACAAATAACCTGTGTTTAGAGTAAGTATATGATAATTACATTTTCCTTTTATTTCCTTTCTGGTGACATATATTTATCTTATACATAGTAACATACGATTTTTTACGCAGTATTGTTTTATACGATATACATTAATGATCGTTGTCTACTATGACAAGCTTAACTTAGTCGACACAAACGTGTCAAACTACAATAGTTCAGTTATAACGTTAGAGACTTACTACACATAGAGACGATCCATTGACTGCATAGAGAGGAAATCCTGAAAAGGGGGCCCAAACTAAGCATCCAACCTTTGATGTCTTAATGGGACATGTTCTCCCCCACAACCTACAAAACATTAAAACATCTTTGTTTATTGTGGGAAATATTCGTTGCTTTATTGTGTATACCCAGACAGCAGTCTTTAGCAGTGTATATGTCTACCCAAGCGTAACATTACAGTTGATACACATACCTGTTCACCCGTTTCGCCATAATCGTTAAATCAAAATTATTCAATGCACGTTCTACATGGTAAATCATGCTTACACAACATCAGCTACATTTCTTTATTAACTTTACAACTTCTGGCAATATTTTGTGTAGCCTGGCTCGATGATTACGTGCACTCGTGATCAGTACGTATTATCCTAACAGCATATTTATATCGTCTGCTATTATTTCAAACTCACTATATCCCAAACTGTCGGGGATAAGAAAAATCTGTATATTTGTGTGCATCCTTAATTCTGTGAGTGTTTAGCAGTTAAACTGTGGATGGTGAACATATCTTAAATGTTAGTCATTAAAAGATTTTCTTTTCAACAATTCATCAGAATGAGTTATCCTTTGTTACAGTTGAAATATGTATACATTCAATAATCAGGCAAATATAACTGTCTTACTGTCTTTTTCTCAAAACTGCGCATATTTGGAACACTTTATAGTCTTCCAATGATGCAGGTGGTCTTCTTTATTCGTTCCGAACATACTTATATTCGGAACACGTCATGTTGGTACATGCCGTAAGTGATAGCCTTTTCTTGAAGCTGAGGGACGACATTAATGACTACCTCTGTAAACGATTAACCATCTTTGGTATGAGTATCCAGAGATGTTAGGTTCCAAATTATATTAAACTGTTAAAGAATACATGCAATTTTCTTATTTCTGTTATGTGTATCATTTAATTTTGCTACATTCTTATACGGGATAGTGCTACAGATAGAAAAAGTAGCATACATTAGGTATAAAAAGCAGATTAATTTGTCAGGTTCGTTTTGTTAACAACTTACCTCGTTGCTTCATAGCATTCTGGTCGTTGACTTATATAACAACCCTTTCAATCATCACAAATGTGTGGACAATTTCACTCACATGATTCACATTGTGGAAAATACAACTTCCTGAATGTCGTACATATATTATGTAAACCGTAGTCACATGATTGGAAAAACCATGACGGGTGCAGTTACACGTCGCTAAGAACACATATGTGACACACACAAGTATCGACAGTATGAAGAGTTTAAAACCTGGCAGTCCTGCGTTATTGCCGAACGTATGACTGCTGTCTGTTGGCTGAGTATTTGATTATGACTCCTCTAAAGAAAACTGTTGACACACAGGGTCACGTTACAAATGTCTGAAATACACATATGCTATACTCATACGGGTCATAACACACATAAACATGTGTTGTGACCCGTATCAGTACAGCATATGTGTATTTCAGACATTTGTAACGTGACCCTGTGGTTGACATATGTTTATAGTTCCACTTAAAATTGGGTTTTCCATTTCGTATGCGTGGTAATTGTACACGGTTATTCTCATTATGTATGTATGTGCGGCGCTCTATTGTCCATTCTGCACAAAAACATGTCCTTACCTCAGAAAAACAACTTGATTATCTGCAATGAATGTCAAGATGGCTGAGTATATATTAGCCTTGAAATCGCATGTGTCAAATAATGACCAAAAGGGAAAGACAATTTAATTGTTCACATATTGGTTATTGGATATCGCTACCTGTCTTGTTGTGTGTATCATTGAATCCTTGTATTGAAACGTGAATCTCATTAAAAGCTTGTTAACAGGTACAGGACTTGTGTTCAAAAGCTACAAGCATAACTCAAACAAACGACGGACGTCATGAAAACCGAAACGTTAGCGCTTACATTTTATCTTAACAATCCTGCTACAGAAGGTGATAAGCAATGTGTTTGTGTGTGTCTGGATATGATATATAATGTGTTTAGTAGTGACTAAATGAGATATCTAATATATTTGTAACTGACTAAGAATGATTTTTAAAGTTTGTGGTTTGTGGGTGGCTGGATGTGACATGTTAAGTTTGTGAGTGACTGAATGTGATATGTAATGTTTGTGACTGACTGGGTATGATACATACTGTGTTTGTGACTGACTGGATGTGATACGTACTGTGTTTATGACCTACCGGATATAATATGTTATGAGTTTGTGGGTGACTCGATATGATATGTACTGTGTTTGTCAGTGACTGGATATGACATGTAATGTGTTTGTGGGTGACTGGATATGATATGTAATATGTTTGTGAGTGACATGGTATGATATATCATGTGTTTGTTAGTGACTGGGTATGACACATAATGCGTGTCAGTGACTGGATATGATATGTAATGTGTTTGTGAGTGACTGGGCATGGCATGAAATGTGTTTGTGAGTGATTGGATATGATATGTAATGTGTTTGTGGGTGACTGGATGTGATATGTATTGTGTTTGTGGGTAACTGGATATGATATGAAATGTGTTTGTGAGTGACTCGATATGATATGTAATGTGTTTGTGGGTGACTCAATATGATATGTAATGTGTTTGTGAGTGACTGGATATGATATGTAATGTGTTTATGGGTGACTGGATATGATATGTAATGTGTTTGTGGGTATGATATGATATGTAATTTGTTTTTGAGTGACTGGATATGATATGTAATTTGGTTTTGATTGACTGGATATTATATGTTATGTGTTTGTCAGTGACTGGGAATGATATGTAATGTGTTAGTAAGTGACTGGATATGACATGTGATGTGTTTGTGAGTGACTGGGCATGGTAAGCAATGTGTTTGTGAGTGACTCGATATGATATGTAATGTGTTTGTGGGTGACTCAATATGATATGTAATGTGTTTGTGACTGACTGGATATGATATGTAATGTATTTATGGGTGACTGGATATGATATGTAATGTGTCTGTGAGTGACTGGCTAGTATATGTAATGTGTCTGTAGGTTACTGAATATGATATGTAATGTGTTTGTGGGTAACTGGATGTGATATGTAATGTGTTTGTCAGTGACTTGGTATGATATGTAATGCGTAAGTAAGTGACTGGATATGACATGTGATGTGTTTGTGAGTGACTGGGCATGGTAAGCAATGTGTTTGTGAGTGACTGGATAAGATATGTAATGTGTTTGTGGATAACTGAGTATGATATATAATTTGGTTTTGAGTGACTGGATATGATATGAAATTTGGTTTTGAGTGACTGGATATTATATGTTATGTGTTTGTCAGTGACTGGGAATGATATGTAATGTGTTAGTAAGTGACTGGATATGACATGTGATGTGTTTATCAGTGAATGGATATAATATATCATGTGTTTGTGAGTGACTGGATATTATATGTAATATGTTTGTGGGTAACTGGATATGATATGCAATGTGTTTGTGAGTGACTTGATAGTATATGAAATGTGTCTGTGGGTAACTTGATATGATATGTAATTTGTTTTTGAGTGACTGGATATGATATGTAATTTGGTTGTGAGTGACTGGATATGATATGCAATGTGTTTGTGAGTGACTGGATAGTATATGTAATGTGTCAGTGGGTTACTGAATATGATATGTAATGTGTTTGTGGGTACTGGATATGATATGCAATGTGTTTGTGAGTGACTTGATAATATATGAAATGTGTCTGTGGGTAACTTGATATGATATGTAATTTGTTATTGAGTGACTGGATATGATATGTAATGTGTTTGTGGGTATGATATGATATGTAATTTGTTTTTGAGTGACTGGATATGATATGTAATTTGGTTTTGAGTGACTGGATATGATATGAAATTTGGTTTTGAGTGACTGGATATTATATGTTATGTGTTTGTAGGTAACTGGATATGATATGTAATGTGTTTGTGGGTGACTCAATATGATATGTAATGTGTTTGTGAGTGACTGGATATGATATGTAATTTGGTTTTGAGTGACTGGATATTATATGTTATGTGTTTGTCAGTGACTGGGTATGATATGTAATGTGTTAGTAAGTGACTGGATATGACATGTGATGTGTTTATCAGTGAATGGATATAATATATCATGTGTTTGTGAGTGACTGGATATTATATGCAATTTGGTTTTGAGTGACTGGATATGATATGCAATGTGTTTGTGAGTGACTGGATAGTATATGTAATGTGTCTGTGGGGTACTGAATATGATATGTAATGTGTTTGTGGGTAACTGGATATGATATGTAATGCGTTAGTAAGTGACTGGAAATGACATGTAATGTGTTTGTGAGTGACTGGGCATGGTAAGCAATGTGTTTGTGAGTGACTCGATATGATATGTAATGTGTTTGTGGGTGACTCAATATGATATGTAATGTGTTTGTGAGTGACTGGATATGATATATAATGTGTTTATGGGTGACTGGATATGATATGTAATGTGTTTGTGGGTAACTGGATATGATATGCAATGTGTTTGTGAGTGACTGGATAGTATATGTAATGTGTCAGTGGGTTACTGAATATGATATGTAATGTGTTTGTCAGTGACTGGATATGATATGCAATGTGTTGTGAGTGACTGGATATTATATGTTATGTGTTTGTCAGTGACTGGGTATGATATGTAATTTGGGTCTGAGTGACTGGATATGATATGTAATTTGGTTTTGAGTGACTGGATATGAAATGCAATGTATTTGTGAGTGACTGGAAATGATATGTAATGTGTCTGTGAGTGACTGGATAGTATATGTAATGTGTCTGTGGGTTACTGAATATGATATGTATTGTGTTTGTGGGGAACTGGATATGATATGCAATGGGTTGTGAGAGACTGGATAGTATATTTAATGTGTTCGTGGGTAACTTGACATGATAGGCAATCTGTTTGTCAGTGACTTGGTATGATATGTAATGGGTTTGTGGGTAACTGGGTATGATATGCCATTCGGCTTTGAGAGACTGGATATTATATGCTATGTGTTTGTCAATGACTGGGGATGATATGCAATGCGGTTTTGAGTGACTGGACATGATATGAAATGTGTTGTGAGTGACATGATATTATATGTAATGTGTTTGGCAGTGCCTGGATATGATATGCAACGTGTTTGTGAGTGACTAGGCATGGTATGTAAGTAATGTGTCTGTGGGGAACTTGATATGATATGCAATCTGTTTGTCAGTGACTTGGTATGATATGTAATGGGTTTGTCAGTGACTGGATACGATATGTTTAGTGTTTAACAGTCAGTGACTGGTGGGTTACTGAATATGATATGTAATGGGTTTGTGGGTAACTGGGTATGATATGTAATGTGGCTGGGAGTGACTGGATAGTATTGATATGTAATGTGTTTGGCAGTGCCTGGATATGATATGCAACGTGTTTGTGAGTGACTCGATATGCTATGTAATGTGTTTGGCAGTGCCTGGATATGATATGCAACGTGTTTGTGAGTGACTCGATATGCTATGTAATGTGTTTGGCAGTGCCTGGATATGATATGCAATGGGTTGTGAGAGACTGGATATGATATGTGATTTGGTTTTGAGTGACTGGATATGATATGCAATGTGTTTGTGAGTGATTGGATATGATATGTAATGTGGCTGTGAGTGACTGGATAGTATATGTAATGTGTCTGTGGGTTACTGAATATGATATGTAATGTGTTTGTCAGTGACTGGATATGATATGCAATGTGTTGTGAGTGACTGGATATTATATGTTATGTGTTTGTAGGTAACTGGATATGATATGTAATGTGTTTGTGGGTAACTGGATATGATATGCAATGTGTTTGTGAGTGACTTGATAGTATATGTAATGTGTCTGTGGGTAACTTGATATGATATGTAATTTGTTTTTGAGTGACTGGATATGATATGTAATGTGTTTGTCAGTGACTGGGTATGATATGTAATTTGGTTTTTAGTGACTGGATATGATATGTAATTTGCTTTTGAGTGACTGGATATGATATACAATGTGTTTGTGAGTGACTGGATATTATATGTAATATGTTTGTGGGTAACTGGATATGATATGC